CGAGTGCCAATTTATCATTTTGAAAAGTTTGAAAATCTAGTGGCAAAGACTTTTTCGACATAGGTTCTACCTTAAGTAATCATTATCTCTAAAGTTCACGTCATACAGCTTACTATGACGTCATATTGTTCAGGCAAGTAGGATATATGTGTGTAGCCTTATTATACCCGCGAACGAATGCAAATAAGATACAGCTGACCCCGCCCACACTGTGACGTAAGCGGTCCAATATCTCATCAACAGGTCCAATATCTCGGTCGCTCTGCGGTCAATCAGTATAATATTGGAAATGTTAGACTTCTTTTAGTATAGAATTATATAGGAAACAAAAAAAAAATATGACATCATTTTATTTACATGTATAATTTATATGAAGGTAAGATACAATCATTTTGGGTTCTTGTATTTACATACTTTCATCCTGTTCCTATTCAGTAAATTTACACTATGTAAATGTTGCCATGTATATCGGCTGGTTATCATTTCTGTATTGATACAGTTTTCAAGATTACGCTTAACTGAAGTAGGTGATCTTCTTTGTCCTCACTTTGTCCTTCTTGCGTCTTGATCATAACCCTGTGTCCCTTCATCATGCTGAATCCTCAGCACTCGCGAAAACTTGGCATCTTGTTACATGAAGTCAAATGGTACAGAATTGGCGAAGTTTCCCGATGAGTATCCCCAGATAATGCAAGAGCAACACATGCGGAAAAAAATACATTATTACGCATCTCATGATCACATATATTTTATGTCAAAGTTATTTTACATTATGCTACACTTTTCACCCATTGCCTCCATTTTCTTTTCATATTCCTTCACTTCCTCCAGGTAGGATAATGGCGGCCATCTATTTTCCTCCACGTGGTCTTTGTTGCTTCCTGTCAGCATAGGAAATTCCTTCCTTTGTTCAAAGGCGATGTAGTTGGAGGATATAAAATGTAGACACCAGTTAGAAAGCTGTTCTGCGTTATGGAGCTTCAATACGACATAACAGATGCATTAAATTTAAATTAATATTCATTATAAAACATAACTTGATTATCTCTTATAGAAAACGACTCACTCAAGATTTATGAAAAATTTAAAGAGATTGAGTCAAGAAACAGTTGCATCATTGTACATAGAAAGTGAATAACAGTCTAATGAACTTTTCAGAGATTATATTTTATACTAACTTACCTGGCATATATATACTTTAACAGTGTAAGCAAATTACAAGTTATACAGGTGATAGTAATATTTCTATTTACTGTTACTTACTAGACACACACTAGTAGTTAAAGGTCTCTTTATTAACTTAGAAAAATTAATATATCTAAAACAATCTAATCATATTACCTGAGATGTGAGTAACAGTCCTATGACGTCTATTTCTGACTTCTCAATTTGTTTGGTGACGTTGCGATCAACTTCTTTTGTTATGTAAAGTTCACATAAATTAATTAGTCTCTTTTGACAATATTCGTCCGCCAAAACCAAAATTCCCATCGAGTCACCGTCTTCTATAGGGGCGTGGTCTGTATAGAGGTATTCTAAAAGGGCCAGGAAACATTCTGACGTCACTTCCTGTAATTTTACCTCAGACACAGTGCTAAGACTTTCCACAAAACTTCCCCCAAACATGGCTGACATTACTTCACATCTCGCTCCAAGAACAACTTTATTGGCGTAAATTTCAGTCCCTGGAATAGAATTCATATCAATAGAAAAAGGCTTTTAAAATTTTTTTTTTCTAACAAATCTTCGATTGCAACATTTCTTTAGATTATCTATAAAGGGCAAGAGCCACTTAGGGCCTTTTTTGGCCCTGTAAATTTTTGAAAATTCAAAACTGTATAGTTTTAGTCTACAAGGCAATAAATAATACTTGAGCACTTGGTGAATGAATATCCACTGAAAATGACGTAATTTTCTTTCTAGTCAATGCATTATGACGTCATGAATTGCGTCATTATGCACATATCCTGAATATTTCTTCAAAAATAGCCAAATTACGATGCCATTTTTCAATATTTCATATACAGCACAACCTCCGATCCAAAATGTGTAAATATATTGTAAAAGAACTGTTAATAAAGATTATAAAATATATTTTAATTTTTGGATCGAGGGGTGTGTTCATATTTTAATTCTTGCTGAAGGTTCTCAAAAACACCTGTTTTCTGCGAAATTCAATAACATTGCAATTTCACACAACCTGTTTTTCAATGCCTGGACTCTTCAAAGGAAATTCTGTTGTATAAACTGAAAGCACTAAGTCTCTACTTTATAATAATGTTGAAAATAGTACACGGGGTATTAGTCAATAAATTGGTATATCTACAGGGCCATCTTATGCATAAAGTAAACCTAGCTCTTTACAATAATAAAAAATATCTAACATGCCTTACCTTCCACATGGAATATGACGTCAGCATATTCAGGGTTATTCAAAAACATCTCTTTCATTCGTTTTCCTGTTTCGTCGTTTAGATACGTCCCTATGCTCGGGTTCAGAAACTCCTGTTCCGTGAGGCAGTTCTCACAGATTGTTTGTAGTTGACCTAACCCGAACATTTTGGCTACCCTGCTCAAGTCCTGGATTTCATCTTCAATATTAGAAACATCTTCTGGCAAATTTGGTAATCCTAAATCAAATGTCAGTATAAGTAAAAACTTAAAAAAAAAAACAAAAATAGAGATATGAAACAATGCAAAGACTGAAAAAAAGAGGTGCTTAACTAATACCAATATCTAAGGTACTTACTGTATGTATATTATAATTAAACAATACTTGCAACATTTTCATCGGTACATCTCATAAATTGTCACCTGTGTATAAGAATTGCAGAATCCGTACGAAAGTTTTTGGTCGGATTCCATCACAGAGTTGTACAGTCGTGTGTTTTTTACCAACATCCTCCTCTAGTGCTGTTGCTATGCCTTCTACAGCCCCGGATGTTAATTCTTCCAGGGTGAAAGATTCATCTTCGATTTTGGATAATTGATTTTTCTATAAACATAAAATAATTTTGAACTTTTAATATGGGGTGTATAGAATGGAACATACAATCCTGCGTCAAGTTAATTTATTGAGAAAAGGGAGTTTGAAAGAGAAAGAAGTGAATAATACATGAAATATGAATTAAGATAATGTACTGTAATCAAGCTCCAAAGTCCATAGAAGAAAAAAATTTGAGCAGAGCAAAAACGGACCTCTAAAAAAATTAGAGGTGGGATCAAGTATCATGGAGGAGTAAGCATCCCCTGTCGACCGGTCACACCCGCCGTGTGCTGTCATGATCGGGCAAACGGATTTAAATCCGTAGACAATGACGTGAAAATAATGGCTAAACAATTTTTATGAAAAACGTCACTCAGCATTCGACTTAGGGATACATTGTATTTGCTGATAAGGTCATTGTATCGACCATAGAATTTGCAAAATGTTGACTTTAAACTGTTGATATTCTTGTTTCATTAACTTATTTGTCAAAAGCTTGCCTCGTTTAAGAAATTGTTCGAACGTAGAGCATACTTTTGCGTATCCAATCAACTGGAAGACATAAACTCCCTATGCAGCTCATAATGATATAAAGTTTTGTTGATAGGTTACCATTAACGTCTTTTTCAAATAAAATATCCAACCATGAAACAGATGTGTCAGACTGTGGTATCTTTTATTTCGAGTTCAAAGGGATACATACATATTTATGAATGTCATTAACGTACCTGTTTACATTGTGAGAATCTGAAGACCTTTTGAAAGAATTTGGAAGCTGCACATAAGACCAGGCGATGGGCCTCTAGCTTATGGTTACCGTCTAGTATGAAGGTCACGTCCGTGTAGGAGGGACTCTGTAAGGCTTTCATCCAATCAGAACTGAAGGTTGAGGTCACAATCTCAACCCATGGAGCCTTGCCTGCAACATCAAAGAAGAGAGGCTACAGAAACATATTATGTACGATAGTCAAACTAATGGGTCATGTTTTCATTTTATACTGTTATGCTTTGGCGTAAAACGGCAAGCACATCCAAAATTCGGAACCTAAGTTGTACAGTATATTATTGTAGATTAGTGTGTCTTGGTAAGATAATAATAATATTAGGTTTAATTGAACACCCAGTGGGTATGGATTCTGACAACTTGGTGTAACTCACCGGCAGGAGGCATAACAGGTGCTATTGGGAGGGGCTTCTTTTTCTTTTTTAACATTCCTCCCAGTATACCCCCAGCTGATTTTGCCTTTTTACTACCTCTATATTCCAGAGATCGTTTAATCTGTAATACATATATAATTAATGACATATTTTCTGGGATAATCTCTATAAAATCGGAAAGAAGTGTATGGAAGAGGCTAAGAAATAACAGACAGACTTACTGCTGCGGAGAAACATTCTCCAAGTCCCGTTAGATGAAGTGAGCTCGTCTCACAGAATGAGGCACCAATTCTTTTGGCCATGTCTTTACCCTCCTCTGTCGTAACAAGGTCACGATCTCTAGAACCCTCTGACCTCAAATCTACAAATATAAAATAAACTCAGCTTGTACATACATAGTACGGACATCTTGGTTCATTGTTTTCATACGGTTAAATTAGTATAAAGTTTAACTTTCCAAGTTTGCATTGTAAAAGATAGTTTGGGTTCGATATTGGTTATGATTTTAATATCCATGAAGCTACTTAATAATTTTATATAAAGTAAGGCATATTAAATGAAAATTTCCTTTCTTAAGACTTCATGTTTCGTGGAAGGTTTATGCCCGTCTGGCATGACGTGTTCAAAATTTTGATAAGTTTTTTTGCCAGGACTCAAAACGATTGCAACACCAGAACAAAGAGCCTGCGATCACAATTCTTATTTTACAGGCAATGTTATATCTATACATTATGGTAATGAGATAATGTACCTATTTTACAGGCAACTAAGACAACCGGTACATCAGGACAGTGATGGCGAAGTTCGTGTATCCACTTCTCCTCTACATTTTCGAATGAATCTCTGCTTTCAATACAATAACACAGGAGGAAGACATCAGTCTGGGGGTAAGACAGGGGGCGTAGTCTGTCATAATCCTCCTGTAAAAGGAAGGGGAAACAGGTATACAGGTAATTCACACAAATAAGTGAAACAAGGTTTTAATTGTACTTTTAAATCAGAAATATTCATATCAAACAAATCATTTATAGATATCAATATAAAGTTAAGATCTCTTAACAATGGATAATGCCTTAATATATTTCATAAGTGGGTCCACTCCTCTAAATCCGGCTATGGATTCTACTGATCAAGTTTTTCCTCCAACATAATTATTATGAATATATTTCACACTTATACATACACTTCCACTATTACAATATTAAACAGTTAATGAATAGAACTCACGCACCTGCCCGGCCGTATCCCAGAGTCCGAGACAGTAGGGTTTCCCGTCTACCATAACATTGGCACAATAATTGTCAAACACTGTGGGGATATACTCCGAGGGGAAAGCATTTGTAGTGTAGGCGATCAGGAGACAGGACTTACCCACGCCCCCGTCCCCTACCACAACCAGCTTCACATTCTCCATAATGATAATGGAATATTCTACTAAAAATGTAAAGATACCAACACCAACATTTCATGTTAACTCTTCAGCCTATTGAAACATGATTAAACTTCTTGTTTAACCTTTACAATAATTCTTTTTATATATAAATGTATATATACATGTACTAAAAAAACCAAAGTGGTCCAAAAAAAAAATGTTCAGATGTTCAACCGCTTTCACGTTTTTGACGTCACAATATGTAATCGTTAATATCCTTACATCCAACACCAGCAAGTGAGTAATCTATATGATATATAATTTGAATTCCGTTGGTTTCTGACAGTTACGTAAAAGACAAACATGTATAACAATGTAGAATAAATGTCAATTCTATTGATCAAATGATAATATCCTACGGACCCGGCGAGGGCCTGTCCCGAGACACAGTTATAGAGTAATTATTTGTTACTTGACAAAAATGCAGGATATGTTTTGCCTAACCCTCAAACAAAAATAATTTGTTTACGGGTCCGATAAAAACGGATGTTGCTCACAAACCTAGTCAATTAATATATTACTGACAGTCATGGTTTATACGAAATATAAGCTTTAACAACCATAATGTTTATATTTACCTTCGATACATTCCATAAACAATTCTGAGAAATTAATGAATAAATTTAATAAAAGGGTCATGAAAATCTGTACCTTATCAAATTCCTGTCCGGCCTGTAGATGATGTCAACAATAACATAAATTAATATACAGACAGATTTTGTAGCCTCATCCGCTCCGGTTATATTTATAACATGGTGAAATACGGATATATATATTGACCAATCAGAATGCAAGATATATTTAAACACATAACGCAGTGTTAAAAATAACATACTATGACTTGAGGTGGATCAATGAATTTTCATAAGTTACACTAAAACTAAAACAAATTGCACCAGAAAGTACGTTCAAGCGTATAGATATCTTTTCTCTTGTTAGTCAGACTTTACCACTTTACTATAATATGATGCAAGTCTGGTCAAGTTAAGGATAATAAATGTTGGGAATATATATATATATATATATATATATATATATATATATATATATATATATATATATATATATATATATCAGACACGCCTATTTTCATACTAGTACTGAATATTTAGTAATGAAGGGAACCCCACCCCCCACCCCCACCCCCACCCCGCCCCCACCCCCCTAAAAAAGAAAGAAGAAAGCTTTAGACTGAAAATGGCATTGTACGTATTCGAGAAATTTAAATTAGCTATATCTTAACGAGGTTGGATCCTGATATTTAAAGTCTTAAACTTTTTTTGTCAAGTACATTTTTAGTTTCTACACACATAGTTTAATTGAAAATCAAAACAAAAAATGGGGGTCAATAAACTTTTTTGGCGCTACAGTACATTTAATATGACCCTTTTGCACTGAAATTTATGTTTTAATCAAAAATCACATATTTGACGTTTTCCCTCCAATGTTTTATCTAAATAAATCCTGGGACAAACTAAACTATTAGTCTATTTAATTATATTAACTTATTCATTTTAAGAAAAAATAATGCACGATTATAAGCTACAGAAGAAATTGGTACCCGCTGTTATCTTGTAAGGAAATATTTTTGCTTGTGTCTTTTTATTTATTATTATAATTATTATTTTACTAATTTATTTATTTATTTATTTATTTTGGAAATCCCAATTCAAAAAGCAACTAATAGATCAGAGAAAACAAAAGGGGAACTCAGTAGTCCTAGCTGTGAAAATTTTTTTACGGAAGTCGCAATTTTGTTAATTTTTAATAATTTTTTATCTAAAATAAGAGCTGAGAAATTGGTTATCAATTTGGCTACGTCTAGGGATTCAGTATGTACATTTACTATATATATTATATATATACCCATGCATTCGGTCCAGTGTCTCTATGTTTCCTGTCTTTAACTTAAGAATAAAGGTAAATAAAGAGATCTATATGTGTACATACTGCTCTGTATTGATTTTAAGTTGATTGAATTTAAATCCCTCCACTGAATGTGTTCCTACAGGCAAAATAATCTATCTTTTAAAAATGGCATTCAAAAAGCGTGTGTATTGACAGAGTAAAAGTAGGGTGATTTATAAATAACCAACGATCCTCAGAATGCGGTGAATGGGGGTAACACGGCGTTAATGAACCATTCTTTCAAAGTGTAAAATTTAGTTCAATTTGTCTTTTTTCAGATATTTCTGCTTCAGTCAGTCATGATATATGGGGAGTACGCCGTCTAAAAACAGTAAGTTAGATAATATGAATACTAGTTTGCATATTTATTTTTCTTAATGAAAGAATAATGTCTAATTTTAATGGACACACGGATAAACTGAGACACACTTCACTCGTCATTCGTATTCCCATATCTGTGGTAATTCCTTCTAACCTCCATACTCTGTGTAAAATCTGGATTCTGGTCAATAATTCACGACCAACGACCTTGACACTTCGACAGATGAGGAAATGAATTATTAAATGATACAAAACAAGGTGACTGGGTTCTTTTTATTCCTTTCAATTTTGGAAGCAGTATCTTTGTGGATAAATTTATAAGTATGTTTTGGAAATAGCGATTCGCTTTATATTTGGATATTTCTTCTTCAAACTTACACATGACAAAGTCAAGTAAGTGGATTTCTTTCTTAGTTTTCTGTTGTGGATTCAGTGTCTTTAATAATTGGTTTCACTTCATCACATAAGGGTTTCCTGGATGTTTCATTGATAGGGATATACTAGTAATCTTCATCAATAAGTTATCATCATTTCTTCATCGTGATCATTGTTTTTTAATGTGTGTAGAACACTTTATAATCGCTATGCCGATTATGGTTTCTCGACAATTAGTTTAATGTGCCCCTGTACATGATATATTACATTAGATACAGTGTCTTTTACACGAGTTCTATACTGTGTTAGAGGAATACATAGTATAAAATCTGAGCATACGCATCTCTGTGTAGTACAATCCTGACTTGTAAAGGACATTTGATGTTATTCTTTGATCATTATTTATTCTTTAATACCGTTAATATTTGGCTTCAGAGTTAAAAGATGAGGTTGACATTGGTAAGTTGTAGCAGTGTAATCTAACACTGACATCGTTTCCCTTTAATTACTTAATTAACCACTTTTTATAAATCCAATGATTTCATGAATATGTTTGATGTCTACTAACAAACTAAGGTGTAAGGAAAGTTCTTAACAAATTTGATTTTGAGCTATATCTCTATTATTATTTTGGGAAAATGTAGAAGTATAATCTAGATTCTGCTTTGATCTTTTTCTACCTTAATCTTTTGATCAGGGGAGTTAACTTCGGTGTCTGTGTTCTATTGTAAAGTTATTGACTAATGGTGCTAGCTGATACATTTAGACACTGTTACATTCAAAGGGACAGTAGTAAAATCAATTTAAAGATTAAACTGATCGATTAATCTTTGGAAAATCAGATAATCCGATAAACACAACCAAAGATTAAATGGTTTCACGCTTAAAATACCAATAACAAATTACCCGTTCTTTTCGACGAGTTAACAATAGCGCCTCTATCCATTTTTTAAAATCCAGGGTTTCGTTAAAACGAGCATTGAACATACACATTGTAGATATAGAAGTTAATTTGATATTCAGCCACATGGCAGTATAACAATTAAGATCCAAATTAATCGAAAATATGTATCTAATTATTTGAAGACATCTTTAAAAGATTGGAGGTTTTGATTAAAAAGAAAATCTTCGCATGTGAATGCTGCTGAGTTAATCTACATCTGTTTTGTAGATTCTCCAGCGTGGACCAGGACTGTTATGTTCTCCCAGAAGTATTACACAGACGGTCTCTTAACAGTATCTAAAGGCTTCTCCAAAATCAACAACAATACAATCGTCAGAACACGGACTGGTAAAGAAAGTTAGCCCTCTGTATTGTTTGTAATCACCACAGGCACTTGACGTTATGTATTTTTCTTGTTAAAAAGAATATAATCCCATGCCTAGTAGGTATGGGGTTATAATTTTTTTTTTTTTGATAAGAAAAAAATGTAACGTCCAGTGCCTGTGGTTACTGAAGCTGAAGGGCACTCAGAGAACGCATGTAGAAAGTTTGCAAACATTTACAAGTTATCGTTCATCGTTTGTTATACAGTGTTTATGATCCTTTCAAAAAATAACCAGATCATTAAAAAATGATTTCTTTTGTACCCAAGCATAGAACAGAATTCCCCCAAAATTAGCAAATATTTGTCTACAGCTCATTTAGGAATAGCATGGCGGAGGAATAAATGAAAAATAAGAAAATCACGTTTACTTTTATAACGTATGATAGATCGTTCATAGAGCAAAAATTAAGTTTAAAATTATTATGAGGAAGAAAAATGAATCTATTCTTAGGGGGATAGAAATTGTCACGTGATAAAATAATGTTGGACAAGGAGAAATGTAAATTAAAAATGCGTATAATGCTATAGATTTCTACAAACTACTTTTTTTTTTACATAGGAAATGCAGTAACAGATGGCGCAAAATGGAGCAGACCATTTAGAAGAGGAAAACACGTGTTTGAAATAGTTTTCCCGCGTCAAATGCGCGGAAAACACGCATCGGTGGGTATAGGTCTTAAAAAGGCAGCTGTTGTCAGTGAATCAAACCAAACGCTTGTAGGATCTGATGAACATTCTTGGGGTGTGGATCTAGTGACTAAAGAGGTGTGCCATAATAAGAGGAGACTGGGGCGGTTCCCTGGTATGTTGACGAACTTCCCGGACAGGTTTTACATGTATGTTGATATGGATATAGGCAGCTTACTGTTTGGCCAGGAAGACAAGTTCTTTGGAGCCGCACTGACAGACGAACAGTTAATTGGGAGTGTTGTGTACCCTATGGTGTCTGCTACTCAGACTGGGGCCGCCATCACAGTAGTTTACAGAGGAAAAGGTAGGAAGATAATGTATTACATACAATGATAAAATGTTGTTCACATTGCCGACATGTCTTTGATTTATTAGCTATCTTGATAGGGAAATGTCAATCTAATGTATACCTCCGCTGTTTGTATAAAAGGGTGAAGCTAACGAACAGTGATCGATATCATAAAAACTACAAACAATACAAATCTGTGAACAGGGCATAAACACGGACCCCTGGAAATTCCAGAGATTGGATCAGGTGCCTAGGAGGAGTAAGCAACCCTGTTCACAGGGCACACCTGTGATCCCTATGTATTGAGCAAGTAGACTATAAAATGACTATAAAATTTAAATATACATGTAACAATTAGTCTGATCGTTGGCATGATGTTGTGTGTTGATGTTGAGATCGTTCTATATATGGAAGAAAACTGTTCAAAATACTGTACTTTAATTTAATTTACCTACTAAGTTACAATACTTGTAATTTCAGTTTTGATTTTTTTTATAGGTAAACCGATTGAAGGACCATTAAGAAAAAAGCGGAAGTAGGAGTTAACACAGCTTATATAACTCAGGGAGGACGAGTCTCAATATCTTTTACGCAGATAAAACTTTATCAAATTACCCGGTATTTTTTCCCTCAGCATTTTTCCCCATCATTCGTTAAATCCAAAGATTATTCAATAATTCTAATGACATTGATAATAGTTGAGAATAACCCGGTTAGGGACTTTTTCAAATAATTGATATATATATATAAAACAGAAACACTCTTTAAAAAATAATTAAATACATGTCTTGCAATGGTCGTCTCCTGTCGTATACGAACATAAATGCAAAGATATGTGGCCCTCTCTCTCTCTCTCTCACACACACACACATATTCTGGTCAAGAAGAACATTACCCATCTGAAACTTCAAACTTATCAATGTTTTTTTTTTTAATATTATCTCTGTTTGTGTCATTAAAGTTTTTTATGATTACGACTGCTGTGCATTGTTTATTGATTTTTAAAACATTAGTACGACGCTATCTTTTGTTTTAATACTTTCCATTTCTTGAAAGATCCAAGACAGTCAGTAAGATACCTGTAACTGTCCACTAAGTTATAAAGGCAAGTTCTTTTGGATTACAAAAGAAAAAAAACACAATAAAGACACAACATGTTTCACAAATAATAAAGTAAAAACTCGAATTTGCAGAAATATTAACTGAAACTTTCTAATTGTTCCAATAGGTGTTGAAATGTAAATTCAAACTTGCAAAAACAACAACATAAACTTGGACATGAATGTCAAAACTTTAAATGAATATCTCCGAATTCTAGTTGAATGTCATTTGCACCTAGCGCACTGTAGTTGACATCACGTCTCTCCCTTAAGGACAGATGATACAAACAAATTTTTTCTTTGGAGGAGACTTAATATCATGTCACAGTTTCAGAAAAGTGGATAATTCTTTGAATTTTTTCTCCTTAGACTTGGAGAATGAAATACCTTCCATGTCATAGGATTAATTTTACCATTTTGCTTTTCCTCATAAAATTCATCTGGCTTGGTATATTTTTTTGAAAGTTTATATTACACTTTTAGCACCAAGCTAACACATTCTGAAATTTATTTTCATCTATAAACCTTTACTGAGTGTAATTTGTCCATATTTGTAATTTTATTGAAGTATCAACTAATATTTTCCAAGTGTCACTTCTTTTATGCAAGAAAATACAACAGGTTATTGAGTAAATGTAATATCAGTTCACTCTGTGCTCCTTAAGAAACAATTTTGAAGAAAAAAAGAGGGTAAATGAATGAAGATCAAACAATTTTACCATGATTAATTTAGTTGTGTACTTTTTGGCGGAAATATGGAAGGTATTTCATTCTCCAAGTCTAAGGAGAAATAATTCAAAGAATTATCCACTTTTCTAAAACTATGACATGATATTAAGTCTCCTCCAAAGAAAAAAAAAACTGTATCATCTGTCCTTAACGCATCGATAAGACTGTAAGTATGTTCGGTCCATACAGTCTTCATCCGATTTGCTTCTGACATCAGCGACAATAAAGCTCATAATTTTGTTGATTCATCATGATGTCTTATGAAAACATCAACGTCTAGATACTCCATATTCTCTCTGCCAGTAAAATAGCACAATCATTGTCCTTTTAGATTTCTGTCCCATTTCTGTTTTCTGTGATGAGCCTCTTCTATATATTGTTGATTTATAAATAAGGAAATCCTTCTAAGTTCCCTTTGTTTTCTGTGTCCAAAATGGCCCTGACCAAAACTTCAGAAATATTCGAACATATGTCCACTTTGAATTCAAAATTTATTATCTTGACAATCCTAATCTCAAAATCCAAAAAAAAAATCACTTTAGAATGACATCAGTATTACTAAAATTGCTCATCGTAACTGAATTTGTTCTGCATCAGGAAAATACAAGAAGACATGCTTTCAACACTCAAAATCACAAAAATTGTGTTCGAATCCCATACCTTTTGTTAGATATTCTTTATTCAGTTAAAAATAGCACTTACCTGCAACTGTCCACTAAGTTAACAATTACAATTGTTTTTTATTGTAAACAATCCCTTAACCTGACAATCCAAAACGTAGACAATGCCATACCTCCTACAATGGATGAGAAACAATTCTGTTATGAAAACAATAAGGTAAATGTTTTAGTAGTTTATAAGTCTCAATTGTCTAATCTGGAAGAAAAAAAGAAGTATTATGGGGTCTAACCCCCTCCCCCATTCTTTCTACTCACAGAATGGACAGATCTCGGCCTATGATTTATATAAAGCCTACCTTTAGTATCCCTGGAATCATAAGGATTATACTAAAAGTATAAGAACACTTCATGGTGCTGAATACATTTCTTGGTTTCCCCGGCTGATGAAAAGTACAAATACTAGTGAAAAATATAAAGGATTAGAAAAATGATTTTTTTTAAACTAAAGCTGATATGAAAGTACACCACTTTATCTCTCTGTTCTGCAGTGTACATATTCATATCTTTCTAATCCCTACATCTGATGTTGAAGTCAACAGTACTGATATCACAGACGTTAACATCAAGGTTAGTTTATCTACAAGGTCAATAAATTAAAATCTCTAATAATAAAGTATATAGAATACTAAAGGATTAATTTTCATTTGGTTTCTAGACCTTCCTCATCCAATATGATTGACGGAGCCAATAAGTATGTTGTATATCTAACTGTAAACATATACAGGATGTTAGTCACCGTGTGATCAAACACAATTTACCATTTTCAAAATTTTCAGTTTTGGTTAAAAGAGAAACAACAAAATGTCAAGGTGTTTCCAGAAATCATCATTAAATTGACACATTCTGAAAACACAGGAATTCGACTAGTAAAATAACCTGGATTTGATGGGGAAGCGTACTATATATATATATATATATATATATATATATATAATCTTTCTTAACTTTTTAAAGGAAAAAGTGTCACAGAATTGAACACAAAAGTCGAAAACCTCATGAGCCAAATTTGTTTTCAGATAATAACTAAATACTCCCGAACATACGTACAAGAATTAATTTTCTCCCAAAATGAGATTTCTGTTTTCGTATTCATTGTAGTATATATGTATTGAAAATGTTATTTGTACTTTAAATGATTAAAACCTCGAGAGGAAAGAATCTAAAAGTAGTCTGTCATGTACCTACAGGTGGGTACATTTGTCAGGTTTAGGACAGAATCAACTTTGATTGGCTGCAGCCAGTTACAAAAAATTAAGTTATTAAAATTTAAGAATTAAAAGCTTAGATATATGTATTTTAAGTTTTCTATATTTCACAATATCACTTCTTCCATGTACTATTTAAACTAGTATGTTCGACAGGCGTGTCCACATAAAAACAAAACGAAATGCTTCAATGCATAGATAGACATGCACGTGACTTACCAGATTACTACGAGAGAGAGTACTTTACATTTCCTCAACTTTCTAACAATTTTTTGTGTATCTCCAACTTACATGAATCAACAACTCTCTCTCTCTCCTCTCTCTCTCTCGTACATACGTTAACGGTAGTGAATCCTGTCTGAATCCTCGCTTGCTGCATTCTACATTCAATCTAATTTACGGAAAATCTTTATACGTTTTCTAGTCATCACCCTTTAATTCACCTACAATTTTTAAAATCATTTCATCTCATTTTTTTCACAGTGAACAAACAAATCCATGATTACTGTACACAAATTACTTATAATGATTAGTGTTTATAACCTAGGTCCCAGTAATATTTCAAACGTATCCCCAAAATAATATTTTGCATTTACATACTAGTATATGTCATTTAGAGAGTGATATTGGAATAAGAGACGAATACCCGCCTCCCCCCCCCCCCCCCCACCCCGACAGAAAACTAAAAAGTCTTATACCAGTATATCAAATAGAGAAAATTATTTTTTAATGCAAAATATGAATAGAGGAATGTTTAGACATAGTAAACTAACCTTAAATAGTTCTAATTATATGTTTAAGAAAGTTAAGACATACTTAAGTCACCTCTACCGACCGCCTAAGTTTTGCTAAGATTGTCAAATCTTAGCACGTTTCTAGTTACGGTCTTAAGTTTAAAACTATACTTAAGTCCTACTTAAGCATGGTCTTAGACTTAAGTACCCTTTATGTTACGACCCCCTTGATCCTAAGTAAAACATTGTCGGCGTTGTACGGTGAACGTAGGTCTACGCTTTGAAATCAGCTGGAAAAGTGCTGTGTGGTCAGTTTTAATGCTTCTCTTCATCATGTCATGGTCATTTTGCTTGACCCCGAACAAAGGTGTACATGCAGCTGGTATAGGGCTGTCTATAAAATATCTTTGTTTGTCGTTTTAAACATCGGGAGTTTTTGTTGTTGTTGTTGCTGTTTATTTTTTTATTTTTCAAATCTAATGAATTGTTTTCAAACTCGCATCAAAGTAAACTCATAAAAACCTATTACATAAATGCTTTGATACGGTACTATATTTAATGATCGATGACAAACACAACTTAAGTCACAGGTCTCAGAAGTGACACAAAATTATCTGATTTATCTTCTTAGCCATTTTTAATTCAAAATAAATGTATTTCAGGCAAAATTGCTGAAAAGAAAAAAAGGATTAATTGTTTTTACTATTATTACTTTTTTCAAAAATTATTTTAGATCCTTTTTTAAAAGTAATACAATAAGTAAAAGGATATAAGAATAAAAGTATAAATAAACTTTTGGGTAATTTAATTTTTTAGTCGGGCGGGCGATGGCAAACGAACAATTCTTTCTTTTTAGCCTAAAATAGGACGTTGTTGTTTGTCTCTATTTGGAAAATATTTGCGGGAAACGGGTTTGACTTTTTTGATACCCGAATTTTTAAAACAAGTCACCTTGATCTAAATATAAATGAAGATGTTAATGCGTTTGACCTAGCAGTCCACTTTCGTCCCAAATTTACCAAAGCTTTATATTCTAGTTTGAAAATTGCACATGCTTTGTTGTCACACAAGTTTATTTAAAATAAAACCATATACTTGTACTTAGGAACTAATAAGGAAGCCAAAGATAAAAACAAACACACAAAACCCAAAATCAATCTTTAAAAATTGGGGGGAAAGAAAGATCCTTAGCTATAGGCATCTGTATTAAAAAAAAAATAACTAAATTTACATCAATATTAAATTAATGGAATTTTTATAAATACAAATATCTGTAAATTGAAATGTTTAATGTATTAAATTTCTATAGCAATATTTCTATTAATAACATGACAGCAAGCCACGTGTTTTAATCCTCAACCACTTCTACAAATTTAACTTATGACAGCAAGCCACATGTTTTAATCCTGAACCACTCCAACAAATTTAACTTATGAGAGCAAGCCGCGGGTTTTAATTCTCACACCACTCCTACAAATTTAACTTAT